CAGTGAGGGTTCGCTGAGAACTTTAGATTACAACAAAAGAAATTATTAAAATTTGTACATAACATTTTTATGTACTACCATTTAAACAGCATATGCAAGTAATATATATCGATCCCAGTAAATACAATGTTCCGTGGCTTGTGTTTCTTATTATAAATTTCTTTGAGAAAGAGTTGCTCCCTACATAGAAGCTATTAATGCAAGGGTGTAATGTCATCTTTACGTGTAATATACAAGTGTCTTCGTGATTTTGTTGATCATTATGATATCACCCCCAGTTTTTTGTGAAGTTTGTGTTGCTCAGTCTTTAGTTTTCTGTTGTGTTTTGATAATTTTTCATTTTTTTTGCCATGGCATTGTCAGTTTATTTTCGACTTACCGGTTTAAATATCCCTTTGGAATCTTTCGACTCTCATTTATGCAAAATCTGCAACACAGACAACCACAGATATGTTTCATTATCCTAGTTTATGACAGTACCAAATGCGACTTATCAACGGATTTTTACATGACGAATTCCACGTCTAGAGCAGAACTTATTATACTTTCTTAGCACCTGGGTTAAATCTCGGGTTTTACTCAATCTTCAGTTTTCTGACTAGTGTTCTGTAAACTAATGTTTGTCTTCTTTCTTTTAGTCATGATGGTGTCTGTCTTTGACCAATGAATTTCTATTGCTCCCTTTGTTTTTTTTTTCTTTTTGTTTGCAGAACACCCTTAACACACCACATTTTGCTTTGCATTTAAAACTCATTAGCTTAAGGATTCAACCATTGATAGTATTATACTCCACACTTAAATTTCCTTTTCTCAAAATCCTCCCATAGCATTTGGCATTAGAACTGACAATCACAACAGCCTCAAGTAAAATAAAACATATGCAAAGTCATTGGGCAAGTTGACAATCATAATTTCTGAAAGAATTTTTTTCAAACAATAAAATCAAGGTTATCTACCGTGCAGGTGATACAATGATTTGTTTCAAATTATGACATAAAACCGTACTGTATACCTCTTCACACTGTTATTAAAGTTCATAGGTATCATCAAACAAGATTTTCTTCTTTTTCATTTCATTTGGCTTTGGAAGTGTATGGCAAATTAATAATATAAATCAAAATTATGAAAATATATTTATTTTTCCCTCAAATAACATAAACATTTTAACATTAGATGTTAACATTGTTATTTTGTTTTGAATATGTTATAAAAATCAGTAATCTAATCAATATGATCTTCAATTTCTTTTCCATTTGTTACATACATGAATCATTAATTTAAATCTTCTTATCATATCCATCTTATTCTATTGCTATTAACGTTACTGGCCTATTCCCGTGCAGATTTCAAATAAGTTATAAAAATTGATATAGGAATAGAACATTTATTAAATATACTTTCTAATTTCTATAGAAAGAAGGCACCTACGAAAATAATATTCTTTTTTTCAAAAGAATATCTGTACGAAACTTACAGTTACATGATTACTTTTGTGTTGAAATTATGATTCATTTACCAAAAAAGTGTGATATAAATGTTCAATATCACGTTATTCCTATCACCAGATACAGCTCATTGTTGAATCTGGAGTAGAAGCTATGATTTTGAACAATTATCATAATATTCCTACAGTAAAGATGTTGAAGAGTACATTTTTCAATTATTATGGAGAATAATAAAACATTTATAAAGTTATTGTACTAAGTTTAGTTAATAAATTATCAATTAAAAAATTATTTGCACTGAAAAAAGTGAATAAAGTATTTAAAAAATACCGAAATTGACTCCCTAAATGATGTATTCGTACGAGACTGCCTACAAGTTTTGATGACCCCACCCCCCAAAATTTTTTTTTACACATATTCAAGGATTTGTGCTTTTACATATAGTTACTTCAAAACTGAGGTATTAATTCTTAAAAAATAAAAAAAAAAAACATTTACTCAATTTGAATATATGGCTTTTATCTACAATTATGATAATGAGTAGTTTATAGATATATCTATAACTGAGAGTAAGGAAAATAAATATTAACAATACAGTTCTTATTCAAATTTACTGTCAGAATAGGATTCTTTTCTAATCATAATAGATATACGCATTTTTTTTAAAATTTGCAGTAAATTGCTTCATTTGTAATGACAAAAGCTACTGCAGAAAAAAAAAACAAAAATTCTAATTTCAATTAAATTTCACTCCAAAATTTCTGATTAGGAAGTGTATACAATTAGTTTCTATAGGCTCTTTGTACATGAAAGTGTAATATTATGAGAAGCTACTGTCAATGAAAGGTAAAGTAATTATATGAATCATCTACCTGCAAGGAGTTCAATGTATTTGAAAATGGAATAATTGTTAGTCATAAATGGATACTCTCCCTCACCTTCTCTGTAGGAATATAACATATGTAAGGTTTTGGTCAACATGAAATTAAGTCTTTGAATGAAAAGGATATTTTTTTAAATTTTAGTAAATAAAATCATAACAAAAGTAAACCCTTATGGAAAAATAAGGCTTCTTGCAAATATTTGCGGCAATGTTGCTGCAACTATTTGCGGCAATATTGCTGCAAATATTCATTTTTCGTATGCAAATTAGTTTTCTTGCAAACAGTTGCTGCAATATTGCCGCAACAATTTGCGGCAATATTGCAGCAAATGTTTGCGGGAAAATCAGTAGCTATGATTGTTGCAGCAATATTGCGGCAAATTCATTAGCTGCAATGTTGCAGCAATATTGCAGGAAAATTAATTTCTTGCAATATTGCAGCAATATTGCAGCAAATCTTTCAACAATTTCAGTTGAAAAAACAGGAATTAAAAACAGCATTTAAAAAAGTATGATTTAATAATAAAACAAAATTTTCTCTGTCCTCTATAGGTTGTTGTGTTACATATCTGTGTATCCTTTAGTTCTGTTTCTCTGTACTAACTGTCCTTAAAGTTGAATTTTCTGATTTCAAATACTGCAAAATAAAAGTTGAAGAATTTAGCATACATTAAAAGAATAACTAAACATTATAAAGATATAAAGATATAAGTTACTACTATATATTGTAAATTCTGGACTTGTAAAATGAAAATAACTCTTTATAAAGAGATGATTACAGACCAATTTTTCCAGCATTTGTTTGACTTAAAGGGTCAATATGTCTAAAAGTTATCAAGTCCTTCTAGAAATTGCATATTACTATACATTTAACCTTATGCCAGTACTAGGTTGTTATTGCTTTTTTGAATATTTGTTTTTCATTGAACTATAACATAATTGGTCTTGTCTATTCTTTAAAATTTTTGTGATTAGTTGTGTATATATAAAAGCTAAATATTGTTGCCATTTGTTGAAAGACCTCTTATTGGCAGTCAAATCACAGATCTCTAATTTAATACCAAACTGCTTTTATTAGAAGATTTCTTGTTTCAATTTAAGTAATGTACTTTCTAAAACATATAGTCTTAAATAGATTTAAAAAAATATCTCCTGTCTTACACAATTTTAATAATATTCATGTGCATAAATCTATTGTCTTATACTTTTGTCAACTCTATTAAGTTAAGAAAACTCTTTGAATATCACTATTTTGAACTGTAAGAGCAAGCACTTATTCAAAATGGTGGACATTCAACTCCATTGTACTTACCAAAAGATGTTATCCAAATTATGTGTAAACACCAATCTTCCTAAATCCAAGAGTCATGTCAACTGAAGGCTATCATATGCACTATCCAGTGTCAATAGAATTAATTGGAACTTTTGGATCTAAATCCATTGTAAAATTCGTATTACTTTGTTCATGATAGAAGACATCTTTGTTTGTTGTATGCATGTTCATGTCCAGTTCAAATTTTGAATATGTTGATCAAGGTTGCTTAGGGTATTGTGACAGTGTGATCCCTTTGAAATTTGCCCCTAATTATAAATATCAATTGCCTAAATCTTGAATATTTGTTATATATTATAATAAAAAAATAATTATATATATATATTTTTGTTTATCTTTGATGTTATAAGTTATAATGGAAATATATACAAAGAAGAAATGCTCTACCCTTAATTTGGCCTCAAACTCTGTGTACATTAATTTATGGTACTTCCTGTCTTTACCACTACACAGAGATAAATTGAAACCAGATGGCACATTACATTTCTATCACCAGCTCATATTACTAATTGAGATGAGAAAGGTAATTTGTGTATACATAGTTTTAAAATAATGATACTAGAAATTAAACAAAATGCAACCTGCAGGTGAGGCTAAATTCATTTGATGGAAAATATTAGAATTAAAAATATTGTTCATAGAAAAATGTCACAAAAAAGTGACAAAAAGGCATAATAATACATGTAGAACAAAAATTATTATGACTCAATTATTTAGATTAAACTTGTTGAAATAAATACCAAAGTATTCTTGAAATTCTTTCCTTACAAAATATCATATAAATGTGATGTACAGTTTAGGAATTCTAAAAATATAAGCATTGTTATTTGAAGATTTATTTAAAATAAATTATTCAAATATCCAGATATTTCTGAGTAAAATAAAGTATGACGACAACAAATTTAGATAGTTAGAAGTATCCATAACCAAATATTCAAAGAAACAATATGTTGTGTATTATTTTAACCTTAAATCTAAAAACAAATAATCATATGTAATATTTTAAAATGCTTGAAATATTGGTGCAAACTATCTGATTGTCTGACATTATTAAAGAAACTTTTCTTGCAAAGTTGTTGCAAAAAGTCATTCCTTAAATAATAAAAGAAAAGGTTCCTGCAACTTTCTAGCAAATAAATTCTTTCTTGCAACATTGCAGCAAACTTGCTGCAATTTTCTTGCAAACAAATTTTGTTGCAGTAACATTGCGAGAATGTTGCAGGTAGCTGCGACAACCTGCAACTTTCTTGCAAACACTTCTTGCAAACAAATTTGTTTGCTGCAATATTGCCGCTATATTGTTGCAATATTGCAGCAAACTTTTCACTTCTGTAAGGGAAGCCAAATCTATACTACAGCTTCAAAATTCTTTAGCATGCTGATTGCATTAACTCTGTAATAATGGATCTCAATCAACATTTGCACATATAAATAATAATTTTGTATTTATCAATTAAAATTTCAATACAATTTTAAATATAAAAAAATAAATTAAGATTGTCTTAAATCTCTACGCTAAATTTCTGCATCTGAAAGAATTTCGAAAATATAGTGTGGAACTCTATATTAAATTGTTTGGAAAATAAGAAATGTGTCATCTTTATATATTTCACACATACATGCTTGTAATAAATAAGAAAATAAATATTATAACAAACCCATGACTATGTCAGAAATTAAATATACTAAAACAAAAATAATTTAATAACAATACAAACATAAACCCCAAAATATTAAATAAATTCTATTATAAATAATTTTCATCCCACATATTTTCGATATAAAAAAGCTTGTATAAAAATAAACTCCAATATTTTTTTTCCAATTCCACTTTAAATGGAATAAATGGGGTATTTCTTCTTAACTTAAAATATTTCATAAATCTGCCAATTAAATGGTTCCCCATTGATATTTAATACATAAAAGATTGCATTCACACATTTTAACATATTTTATAAATATCAACACAATCAACAACATAACAAGACAAATATGAACATCAACACTTGATAATATAAATAAGTATCACTTTTTTCATGATCCTGAGTCAAATCCTTAGTCAATTTATCAACAACAGCAAATGATAATATTGACAGGAATGTTTTAAAGCATAATAATGTCATCATTTTTCAGTATTTAACTAAAAAACATGGTAAGTTATTACAATAAAGTCAAATCTGTATAATTTGTCAATCCATGAGCATATATCACTCATAACAATAAAACCTTATAATGTCTTGCTTCCAGACAATAAGGAGTTTAGATTCTTTAATAAATTGAAAGAGTATAATTCATGTAATACTCTAACTTTATTTTTTCTACCTTTGGAATGTCATAATATCATAGTCATTTTATGTTGGAAATAAATTGCTTAGTTTCTACATTGTCAATATATGGCAGCATTGACCTATTTCAATACTTTGTATCCAATTTCCTTTTTTGGTGGTGTATCATAGTATATTTCTCATGGGACCTTTCCCAAAAACATCTTACAATATTGAACGGTCAAGTGGTTTAACAAGGAATAACAGCTATAATTCATGATATATATAAGATTTTTTTGGTAAAAAGAGTTTTTATCTTAAAATTTTAGATGTTTTCAATAAGGAGGAAAATAAAATACTCTCATTCTAAAATTATTTGTTAAACATAAAAAAATTGTATTAAAAACATTTAACCTTTTTTAAATTTCTTCAAAACAACTTCTCATAATTATTTTTTGTACGACATGGTAACAACTTAATTTTTTTCATACGAACAGTGTGTCTCAGGTCTGATATTTCATTAAAATCTACCCTAAACTCTATTGAATAATTTAAGGACATAGTAAGATTCGCTAACAATTTCAGTACAAATATTAGATAATGCTGAATAATCATGTATGTTTAAAGTTTTTGACATAAATTGCACAAATTCTAACTAATTTTGCATCCATGTATTGAACACTTTTATTGGTAAAAACTGACCATCAAAAGAAACACAAAAAACAGTATTCATTTTCCTCTTTTCTTTTTATTTATAAATTTTAGAATGTTAGTTGCAAAAATAGAACAATCAAACGCATGTGAAAAATGGCTATGAAAGAAAATGATGTGTTATATCTGATAGGCATCTTTGATCCAGACTTAATAATTCCAAGATCCTTTTTAATAAAAAAAACTTAATGAGTTTTGTAAGAAAATTACATCAAACTTTTGCATTTTCGAAAATTTTAGTATAACCTTCATTGATAACCAATCATAAAACCATGCTTATCTTTATTCATATATCGGAACAGTGCATTTCCTTAAATTTTAATAATAAAAACAATTATTTCTCTTGATGGTCAGTGCATGATATGAAACTTTGATGTATTGAAAAGAAATATCTTCTTTTTTTAGTAATTATTCTACAGTAAATGTTCATTTTTCCATACATGTAAATACAAATTTAATTTATTAATATCATATAAAGTTCTACAAAATTTCATGTCTATGTAAGTCTTTCCTTGTCTTTGTTGATTCTTCTTCTATCTTTGGTACTATGAGGACAACTACAAAAGAATTGTGAGAATTCAAAGATGAGCAACAAAAAGTAAATTAGCTGACAAAAAAAAACAATAACAACTGGACTTATAAAAAATAACAATAATCATAGAAGGTTGCCTAATGATGTAGCAGGCCAAACATCCAAATCTATTTGCTAATTGTAAGTGATTCATGTAAGTAAGATATTTAAAAATTTCTGGTTTAAAAAAAATTGCTTAAATGGAAGTCAGGTAAATCTACAATAAAGTAAAATTAACATTAGTCACTTAGCAATTTTTCATATGCTGTTGATAGAAATAATTCAACTGACAAGTAACAGAAAATCCGTTGGCATAAGACTAATGCACATTACATATAAAAAAAACAGCAAGCATAATTTTTAATCAACATTTCTCTTCTACACTTTCACGATAATATTCATATACATCAAACAGATTATTACCGGGTTTGTACTAACATGAGCAACACTACGGTTGCCACCCTTCTGGAGCACCTGAGATCACCTCCCCCCTCCCCCCCCCATTTTGGTGGGGTTTGTGTTGCTCAGTCTTTAGTTTTCTATGTTGAGTTTTGTGTACTATTGTTTGTCTGTTGGTCGTTTTCTATTTTTTAGCCATGGCATTGTCAGTTTATTTTCGAATTATGAGTTTGAATGTCCCTCTGGTATCTTTTGCCTCTCTTTTATGAAACTGAACTGATATCAAACAGTATAGTTGTGTGTCACTTTCATAGACTTAAGAATATTAGAGTCCACAGAATGAACCTTTTTAATTCAACTTTGCTATTTTGCATACTTTCACAATCCTTTCAGCTTACAACTCATAGTTTTACCAACAATTCAAAAAACTTAAATGCATGTACTTACATTTGGGAAAATTGGTTCGTCAGAAACTAGGTTTGGCCTAGGAATGTTAAACTGAAAGACAAGAAAGAAAATCATTATTTTAACTTTCTTCAATAAAATATATAACATACTAGAACTTATATGAATTACCTAACAGGTTGTCAGGTAGTGAATGCTCTTACATGGTACAATAATGAAACATTGAAAGTCATCATGATCCAACATCTCCAGTTAACAAGGAAGCACATTTCGTTGACATTGAACAGATGACTAATTTTAGCATGCTGAGTAATTTTGGTAAGAAAAAATAAGAAGTATATTTCAAACTTTACCCTAACCTCAAATTCACTATTTCCTTATTATAATGTACCATTAATCTGGAAAAAAAACTTTTGAAATTGTCAAATTCCATTTAGATCAGGGATTTAATCATGGTTTCTTGCATTGTGTTTACTAGTATAATAAAATTATTTTGTAGAGGCATACAGAAATGATTGAACTACAGCTCAACATTTGTTTACTTTCTGTATTTTGAACTCAATTTAAAACATCCACACTAAAAATTTGTCAAATATTAACTTAACTTTTGATTAGTGCTTTCTGGCATTGTGTTTAGTAGTCAAATGATTTTGTCTAACTATAGTAAAAAATCCCTTTAAAATTAATTTGCACAACTCTAGAACTACAAATCTGAATGTGTCAAATTCAAATAAGACCTGTGTTAATGGTTCTTAATATGGTTACAATTAATTTTTAGAAACATACCCAAGATGTTAAAAGAAAATTTCATGTTTTTCTCTTTTCTGCATAGTTAAGGAGTGTTAGAAAATAAGAAGATATAAAAAGGCCAAACAAAAAACAAAAAATAATAATGAGACAGACAATATCTTAGCTGTTAGACAAAAAAAGATGAAACAGAAAAACATTAACCAAAAATCACCATAAAATACTGGCATTGGAACAAATGAACCCCCACTTAAAAAATGCTCTGAAGAAAAATGGCAGGTCTTGCTTCATTTATGGCACCATCTAACTTACAACAACTTGATTATATAGCTCAAATGGAATAATAAAACTTACTTCTGGTTCATGAGTGAGTGCATCATTGAACCAATCTGCATCCATACCTACAATATACATTACATAATTTTAAAATTGTTTTAATGCAAAATAGAGTAGAAAATCATAAAAAGGAAAAACTACCATTGTGTTGCCCAAGTTTCTTATTCAGGTTTGTTACTTCAAAACAAAAATCCAATGTTTCCTTATTAGAGTTTTTATGTTTAATAAATTTTCAATATACATAAAACTAAATTATAGCCATAACTGGATATAGAAAAAAAAAAAAAAAAAATCCCACATTTCATAGTAATGTAAAGTAATTTTGAAAAATTCTTTGAGCAATATATATTTATATAGGATACACTTGTTCCATTATTTTATTCATATAGTAAATTGTGTATCTATAGTAGAATTTTTTTTACAAAATAAAATAACAATAAAGTGACAATCCCAGTGGTGGATTTAGGTGGAGGGGTGTGTCCCCCTTGTGATCTGAAACAATATAATTTTTTGGGCATTAAACAGTCAAAAAAATATCGTTCCGCTCCACCATGACATAATAATGTTCCCATTTCCTCAAACCCTGAATCTACAAATGAATTTTAAAGCTTATTCTTTTTACCTGCCATATCTAAGCTAACGTTATCATCGTCATCGTCATTTGTATATTGTTCTAATTCTTCATTATCATAGGGATATGATATAGGGAACTCAAATAATCTATCTTCAGATAGTTCTTCATCTTCCCATTGACTAGATGCAGAGAATGGTGTAAATGCTTTGGTATAATGAGGTAAATACATTGTTGAGGGCATACCAAACACAGGTATTCCATCACTGAAATTAAACAAACATAGCAAATTATAATAAAAATAATCTTAATTCAATAACTTTGATAGGAAGTAACCATATGGAAGAAAAAAAATCCCAAAAGCATCTTCTTTTTGAGGGGGTTCATGCTGTTCAAATGTCTTTTGGTATATTTCGTCGAGTGTTTTTGACTTTTGTCTTTTTTTTTGCCCCAGGGGTTGTCTGTTTTATGATTTTTTATTGTCCCTTTGATATCTTCCTCCTTTTTTCAATGAATAAATCAAACTGATCCTGGAGAAAAGTCTTAAAAACTGAATACATCAGCAACATATGTTTTTAACAGTTAAGATGTATTTTATGCTGAGATGGACAGAAATCAGGTCTAGATAATAAAGATTATTTTCCCATTACAATCATCTTTTTTCTTATTCAGTAACTACATTTTACCTCGCCTGAGATGCCTCTTCCTTTCCTTTAGAACCCCGTCTGAGAGCCAGGATCAGACATGTAGCGGCCGCTAGACCAGCAGCGGCAGCAAGGATTGGTACCCCAATTTCAAGGACTTCTTTTTCTCTAGTATCTACAGGCTCAGCTGCATACTGACAATAATCTCCAGCATAGCCTTCTCCACAGCTAAAAAAAATAAAATTCTGCACATAAAAGTAAACTGACAATGATAATTTGAACATCATACACACCATTTATGGAGGACACCCATCTTTAAAATATTGATTATTTTATTAGTTGGTAAGAGATTTACTTTTGGTTGCAAACATTCAAAATCATTTTCATAGAAATACAATAAAGCTTTAAACATTTTCTTTTTATTTAAACATTTTATCTTTTATTGTATCATAATTATCTAGTATTGTTATAACTATTCCTGTTTTTTTTAAAATAATTTTTAATGTTTTTCCATGTAGAGCTCTAGATGAAAAAGGAAGGGTTAAAAATCCATTAAAAAAACTAGTTAAAACACCACCACATGAAGCATTTTAAGCAAATAACCAAAATGAAAATCAGACTATTCTTCATCATTATAATGATAATAACTTCACAAGTACTTACACACATTTTGGCTCATTATTTTCATCAACTTCACAGGGTTGACCATTTCTACATGTATCACTGGCTCTGTATATGGCACACCCATCTGTTGTACTGTTTATTCCAAGTGGAACTATAATCAAATAGTGAGATAATTAGCATACAGAGTCAAATCATTGTAGTTATTTAAGAGGGAAGGTAAGAGGGGTGTCATCCCGATTTCTGTAAAAATGAATGCTGAATCCAAAATTCTCGAAAAATCAAGCATTCTTTCCCAAATCCATAAAAATTAATCATTAATTACAGAATCCTGATTAACTCAAATCAACAACAGCATCTAAAATATACAATTCAACAATAAATATTCGTGACATCATTAATTACTTCCTGAGGAACAGACAGAATTCGTAAATCATAATACTGCCACTAACTGGAGGGTAAAAATTAGTTCAAAGTCATATGATGTATGCCAGAAATATACATACACTTGTGCTCCACACAACCAACCCACATACCAAATTTTGTTGACATATCATGGATTGTTATTAACCTGACATCTTAACCTGACCACTAGATCTCACTGACCAAACTGAGGTCAAGGTCAGGTGAAAAGGTCTCATCATAATCAACCTCCATAAATATCTTGCTCACCTAACACAAAGCAGGTACAAGATATTAAGGTATTTGTAAATTGCTGATATCACCAATAAAGTTATATTTTAAAACTCTAGCTCTGACACCATTGTTCATATTCAGCTGAGACAATAATAACTTACAGAATGTACTGTTTTCTCACCTTTGACCTGAGTTCCATCTGGTTTCTGAATGAAAATGTATGGTGAATCCTGTAAGACTGGGACAGAAGTATTATCAACCACTAATGGTCTATTTTGTAAAACAACAGAACTCATTGCTCCAGCTATCAGCTGTTCATCTTTAGGTTTAACTGGGGAATTCAAGGTCACATTAAAGTTCACTGTTGTTTTATTTGTTGTTGGATCAAATCTGTGAAAAATATTGGAAACAAAATTGTCAAACAAAATATCTATATTATATAATACAGTCGACTCTCGTTATCTCGAAGTCAGCCGGACCAGAGAAATATTTCGAGATACACGTAGTTTGACTCAAACGAAAACCGGAAGTTTGACAGAACAAGGGACACAACTCTTGCTTCGCTTGGTAAAGCTAAAATAAATCCGGGTGAATATGGGAAGGGGATCGATATTCTGGTATCGGATCGATGTATTTGTATGTCATGGTCTTTCATTATTATAATAACATTATTTTTACTTATTCAATTGTTTCAGTTACAATTTTTTCCTATGGCTTTTACCCGAGAGAGTAATTTCCAATCGATAGTTTCGTTATTCAGGTCGTTTATAGTTGACAAAACTGTTTATTCTCGGATACAAGAGATTTTAGAAAATTTAGATTTCTCTTCATTTTGTTTTATCTCACTCTTTCTTTTCAAAAGAAAATACAACAAGATTAAAGACGCCGATTGAGTAGTTTTTAGGTGATCATCAACGGAAGTCATAATCCTTACTTTATACACACCCAAGCTCATTAGTGTAAATCACAATTAATTGTTTTGTTAACATTTTAAATAATATGTGTAATGTTACATGAATATATAGTATTTTATATAGAAAAAAATAAACATATTTTGTAGTAGACTATTTAAAACAGCTATTTGTAATAGCAATTTATTTATTAAGATATTGATAGAATTTTTTTTTTTTGTTAATTCTACTGAATATTCTCCCTGGATATTCGGTGGCACTATTAACAGGGATACTTGATGGAATGCTGTACATCAAGTGTTATTGTTAACAGCAAGTTGTGCAATAAAGTATCAATTTGAGTGTTAAAAAAAAAAAAAAAAAAAAAAACATTTTAAATACTTTTTCATGAACATTAACAATGTATCACTAATTATTTATAAAAATTCTATAAAAGATAATCTTAGGTAAACACTCGTGGAAATAGCATGTCATAAATCAATACAGTGGTCAGTGACTGGAAATTTAATTACACGTGTATTGTCAGATTAACTCTTCAATCTATTTAAATGCCGGAGGTCATGTTTTGACATATGTGTATTAGTTCGAGATAAATAATGAATTTTGAATGCTTTTGTTAACCTTGGGATCATAAATTTAGTTCGACTCAACCGAAATTTCGACTCATCCAATTTCGACTCATCAGGAGTCGAATTACATACATTTATATGGAACAAAGTTCGGGACCACGTGAAAACTTCGACTCATCCGAAATTTCGAGACAACGAGAGTTAACTGTAATATCAAAAATATAATTTAATAAAACATTGAAAATATATGCCTAAAAATTGTTCTGACAAACAAAACCCCAAACATTGGATACCTTAAAAATATATCAATTCCAAAAGTACTTTAAGTTAATGTAATTCAAGGCTTATACATAAAGGAATTCTAAATATGGTGGAAGAAAAGATAAATATAGGGCAAAAGGAACAATTTATTTCCATTTATGAAATAAATAAAACAAACAAACATCTTTTACTTTGGTCTTTATGAATAGTTGTCTGATTGGAAATCAAACCCACATCTCCTTATTTTGAATGTAAAAAGATCCTTTTTGAGGTAAAAACTGGGGAACTAGCATGTTGAGTAAGAACTTCAGCGAAAAAAATACCAAATTTTCCTATATAAATGTTTTCCTAGCTTACAAACATGTTTAAACCTGCCACATCTTTATGTACCTGTCCCAAGTCAGAAGACTTAAATTCAGTGGTTGTCGTTGGTTCGACCGTCATATTTGTTTTTTTGTAAATTGTACTGTATAAACAAGGTTGTTAATTTTCTTGTTTGAATTGTTTCACATGCTATTCTGTTAAAACAGACAAACACAGGAATATCAACATCATTTGAATTCTGGTTGATAGTTGTCTCATTGGCAATCACACCACACCTCCTTATTTTTAAACAGTATATCTTTAATACTTAGAGAACTTTTCCCTGGGAATGCTTTGAAATTTATGATAAAAGAGAAGTAATAATTTGCCAGAAGAGTATATTCATAGTAAAAACATTGTGTAATTTTTTCTTTGTTAAAGAATGAAAAATAAGTATACATTATTAATGGTAATAATCTGTTGTCACAGAGATATGTCTCGCCTATCGGCATAGAATTCAGAAAAAAACAATCTGATGGACAGCAATATTGCTTATTAATTCAGTCACTGGACCATGATCTAGTGGACAGTGCCTCGAAATAGTCATCAAACTGATATGAACTGATAGTAATGCAACTTCATACAAAATATCATTAATCTATCACAAGTAGTTCCTATCAAACTAACTTAAGCAGAAAACTTAATAATTGTTGACGCCGGAGACGTCACCGTCGCCGGAAATGCAATCCCTATGTCTCGCAGTCGAGACAAAAATGAAAACAACTTACATGACAGCTTCAGGTGGTATGTCCACTGAACTAAAGTCTAACCCGGTTACATTTCCAAATATTTTTGCCAACTGAAATAGAAACAGATCAATTATAAATTGAAATGCAAGTTACCTATGCATATTAAAAGAAAAAGTAACAGGTGCAGATGTACACGAAACAACTTATCATTGGTACAGTATAATTACTACTACTCTTGTGACCTTTAGCACTGTATCAAATTTCTATACTACATCTATACCTAGACCTATCCTTTTCACTATAAAATACACCTCTTGGAATCATTTTGAAATTTGTCCTGGTACAACATTTGCCCTATCACAACTAAAGTAAATGGACCTCACTTTGACTATTCTTTCACTATCCAGAGTAGTTTTGTTTCACCTCAATAACTCAAAATTTAATATACTGTGGATTCATCTACTTTCATTGGTACCAATTTTTTTATGACTTTGGAAAAAATTGTATTTTGGTGATACATATTTTTGTTGACAAATTCTGATGGTTTGTACTTTGTTCGATACTTGTTGTTTTATTGAAATTTACTGTTATAAAATGTTGGAAATCATTTTAAATTAAAAAATGTATCTCTCTTATTCATAGCTCTGCTTCCTTCTGGTTTTGTCTTAACTTTTAGTCCTGTTTGGTTTCATCAGCTCTTCAACATTAGTATAAGGTTTTAGATTTCAACTATTTTGGCCTCTATCATCACTGAAGAGGAATTGATTTTTGAAATGCGCATCTGGCACAATAAATTTGGTACCGTTAATGTTATTAATTTTGTGGTTCTTAAATAACTTGTTTAACCAACTTTTATTTTTGATTTAGTAAACTAAGACCTCAAAGCATGACCATCAACAAACAATATCATGAATGATTCTGAATATATATTGCCCCTTATTTTGAATAATATATTCATTGTGATCATTTCAAAAAAATATTCATACATAAAGAAATACTTACCGCCTCAGAAATACTCTTATTATCAGATCCGGTAAATTTACCATCAAGAGAAACTTCTAACTCCACATCTTTATCTAAAGGCTTTGGTTCTGTAAAATATGTCAATTTAATTAACCTGATGTTTAACATTTCTTATGCATTTCAAGATACTTAAATTCAAAACTTCAAAATACTATGATGTAAATCCTATGTCATTTGTTAACTTTGAAAAAACGTTGAACACCTGGGCCATCGATCATAAAACTATATTCAATACTCTTAAGAACAAAACTTGTGTTAAAACACTAAATCCAACATTTTGATTGGTTGAATACTGAGTCTGAGTATGATAATCATACTCCAAATTTTATCCCCAAGCTTCTACCCCTGCCAAAAAATAAAAACAGAATAAAACAGAAACTTAGAAATTTTTTCAAACATTCAATTAGGTTAAAATGAGATATAAGGTTGTTGTGTAATGGTTTCCAATCATAGAAAAACTTTCTTTTATTGTTATTCATATCAGACAAAACGGTTTAATTTCAGGCCACTTCAAGTTTATAATCATACCTGGTGCACATTCACCATTCTCATTGGTCAAGAAGCCTTTTGAACACAAACATTGGTGTTTTCCTTTTTCATTCTTACAGTTGTGTATACCACAAATGCCTTTGTCTTTCTTACATTCATTAACATCTGTTATAAAACAATAATAAATACATAGCAGTCCTCTTTTGTTACACTTTAATGTTTTTTTGTCATTTAGGGTACATGATATTTGTGACATGATCTTTGATACTCTCATAAAACATTTTTAAATTTATGACATTTTAAAGCTAGATATGAGCTGCATAGGATAGAAATCGACCTTATACAAGTGCACGTATACATGTACATGTATAAGACTTTGATTGATTTTGGAATATTCAAATATGAAATAAAAGATGAACTTTGGTCTGTTTTGTAGGGTTCTTATATCAACTCAATCATCAAACATTTACAGACTTTGCATAAAGATTTTTCAACCTGAAATAGGTTAACAGATGTATTGATATTCATTCGCATAAGGTCGATTTCTATCCGACGCAGCTCATATATTGCATAGACCTTTGTCTTTTGTTTAAGACAATAAGTTGACCTCTAGGTGTCATTTGATTATGTGTAAAAGTGTTGCTTTGGGTTGCTGTCTAATAATCCAAATATTTTATACATAGATACAATAATCAATTATTTGTGTGTGAGTCCACACATTTTAAAAGTGCTATGAATGAGAATTACAGAGGCAGACCTTTGTACAAAGTAAAGACTTAAAGACGAATATGATAGTTGTAACTATTTTTTTGGTGCTTCCTTTCATTTCTCCTTTTTTCTGTTTTCAATGTGTATGTGTATGTGCAAAGCCATTATAACTAGAAAGACATAACCAATCTAGTTGACCATTTGAAATGATAACTAATATATTAGTAGATTATAAGTTAATAGTTATTACTATTTAATATAGTGGCCTCTGTGGTCCATTGGTTTAAGCAGTTAACTACTGTATCACTAGCCTATCAACACTGAGTTTGTGAGTTCGAATCCTGCAAGTGGCAGGTGCACTTGACTCCAATCTTAATTGACTAGAATTGTCAGTTTTCCTACCAAAGGTCTGTGGTTCTCTCTGGGCACTTTGGCTTCCTCCACCAATAAAAACTGACTGGCGCAAAATAGCACAATAGTGTTGACAGTGGCGTCAAACACCAATCAATCAATCAATCAATCATTATTATTATTTAATAAAATTGTTTATTGATATTTTCCTATTAGAATTTTGTGTGTAATGAAAAAACACTTATCAACCATCTATTGAATAAAACAATTTAAAATGTTATGCTTACCATAACATTTAGTATTGTTGATTCCTCCTGTTTTGTATCCTTGCCCACAAACTTTGCATTTGTATGGGTATTTATTTGCCCTGTGGTTAGCAGGACTCAAATCTTCACAAGTTGTCCCTCGTGACTCACAAGGTGCCCCTTCACATCCGTTAAAGTCAAGGCCACAATGTGTACCTGTAATCAAGTTTGTATTTAAGTAATGAATGACAAAATTAAAAACAAAGTTAAATTTATTTCTTTTACTTCAAATGTCTTAAAGATTAAATCAATTTACTGATGATGAGAGTCTTAATCAGTATTCCCCCTTTTTTCCCCAAATATTATTAGAAACAACTCAAGAAATTCTGTTGCTTTATATTATCAGGTAACATTTTTTAACAATACTAAATAATTGATTTAAGATTCTTTTTTTTCGTTCCGATGGTTAAAAATAATAACATAAATGAGACCCATTACCTGTCCAGCCTTCTTCACAGGTACACTTGACCTTGCGGAAGTAACTGTTAGGATTCTGGTCATACAAAAGTTTGTCAAAGTCACATGTCCCATGGTTGTTACAGTCACATATATTAATCACAATACCTAATGCCTGGCTAATACCTCCTAGTGTATCCTCTCCAACAAACCTACAATCAAAGAAGTAAAATAAAAATTTAAGACAAGACAATAATAAATCATGTCACAAGAAGACGACTGATATATTACAATTGTTGAAACCACTATTTCCGCCTTCTTTTCCTCGAATGTGACATCATCGCATTAAAATTATAACCAAATTTGTACCTACATGTGCAACACGGCGGGGGCCACATCTGGAGCAGAATTTGCTTACCCTTGTGGAGCACCTGAGGTCATCCCTGGTTTTAGTGGAGTTCTTGCCTCTCAGTCTTTGGTTTTCTGCATTGTGCTTTTTAAACTGTTCTTTGTCTTTTCGAGGTTTTTCATTTTTTGTCATGGCATTGGCAGTTTGTCTTCAACTTATGAGTTTGAATATATCTTTGGTATCTCCTGCCTTTCTTTCACATATAGAATACACTATATTCAAACTTAAGTTTATTTTGTAATAGCATAGCAAGAGATTGATAAAAATGCGCATCCAATTAAGTAAACATTTTGTTAAATTAAGGGCAGTAGCACAATTAGGTAAAGATTTCAACTGAAGTTTCATCTTTTATAAAAGAAAGAATTGATTACAGGGGAAGTGCAAATAAACACTAGTTAAAATACAACAGGAGAATTGTTATTTATATATTGACATACTTGAGAATAGCCGGATCAAAATCAGTTGGAGTCCATGTGACTGTGACAGAGGTGTTAGTTTCTTCTGAACATGTTGCATTAAGTGGTAGCTGGCAGTTGATGGACATCCCTGGTATGGGTTTTTGTATTTCAAATGTTATCTGGTCATTTATTGTTACATTTACAACTTGTGTACCTTCAGGGGGTGGAACATAATTATCTGAAATGGAATTAAAATTACAATGTAATATCTAAGAAAGTTATGTACAAAAAAAGAGGTGGGAAGTTAAATATTGATCAGATAACATTGAAATTTGGTTTTTATGTACTTCTTAAAATATGACATTTAGTTATGACTTTTACTGCATGCTGAAAACCTTTAAATTGAAATTGACTGATTCAGTCTGTAAAAGATAAGAAAGGTTTTAAATAAGAAAAAATATAAGTGCTTTTCACTCATTTCCACAGTAGCTTTCTAAAAAAAGGTTAAATAATTCTTAATCTTAACAAAAACTTACGCTTTCAAATATGAAACAACAAATAGTGAAAAATGCACATTTTCTATAAATTATCATACTGATAAAACTATGAACCAACATTTCCTTGTCAATTTTATTTCTGTTACTTAAATAATGAACCAATATTCTTTTCATTTAGCTTAACTTCTGCTTGACTACCTTTTATTTTATCTTTATTCTTTACATTTTCATATTCTTGTTTTGTGTTAGCTCCCACGATAGTTCCTAGCACAATAGTGTCATATTGACATAACTTATTGTCTCCACAAGTGTCATTAACTTGTGCAATGGTTGCATCGGAAATATCCTCTTGGAAAATTGGAATATAATTATCCTGAGTATAATTTTCATTTGAATATCCATTGTTATACCAGAATCTTGATGTTTCAGGAGTTACAGCCCCTGCAAAAGAAAAAAAAAAATTTATCACCATATGACAAAACAAATGTTGTGGAGGGTTGGTACATGTTGTAACTTTAAAATAAAAAATATAAATAGATGCTCAAAAGTAAAAGTATACAACCACCAAGTTTATCAAAGTAAAACCACATAACCTAATAAAAGAAATGGAGCGGTTGCAAGCAACAACTTATCCCCTTGAATTGCCTGTTACTTATACACTCAATATTTTGCCTTTACATTGTTATTTTCTATTTTCCTGAAACAAGAAGTAGCTAAAATAAATATACATATTTGTTTAGGGGCCAGCTGAAGGACGCCTCCGGGTGCGACAGTTTCTCGCTGCATTGAAGACCCATTGGTGGCCTTCGGCTGTTGTCTGCTCTATGGTCGGGTTGTTGTCTCTTTGGCACATTCCCCATTTCCATTCTCAATTTTATGCATTATTATACTACAATAAGATGGGACAGTATATGCAGTTCGTTTTAACTGAACACCACCATTATCAGGAACACCTCAAGGCATTGTCCAGCGTCTGACAGGCAATGTTTAGAGGTAAAGTGAGGTGCATGAGCGGTGCTGCCTCAAGGCAACTTTTGCCAGGAAACACTCAAATGAAAAACTCAACCATAGCAATTCATGCTTACACCAAAGTTCAACAAGGTGACCTAGTTTTACAGTGCACCTTATTTGGTAACTTCATTGTTTACAACAAAGATTTTATATCAAATCTTTTGTTTTTTTACTTTTAGGCATTACATGAAATTGATGAATTAACACTTCTTAGCTAATTATATCGCTTTGTCTGATCTCAAAGAAATGTAGGTCACCATGGTCAATAGGACAAACAATAAAGAAGTGTCAATTAGCCTGTTTTAAAACTCAACCAAGCTGGTACTCACATTGTGACAGAACCAGGAATAAACCAGGGTCTGATTGGTTGGTTGGTAATGTTCCAGATGGTGTTTGAATATCATCGGTTTGGTTGTTATTAGCAGTTCCTAATAACCCAGTCACTCCATCCAATAGATGTGGTTCTGAACATAGGGTCATCTGTATAGTTTTGTCAGCGTGACAAAATTCTGCTGCAAAACCTGAAAAAGAACTTTTCTGTTTTAAAAATAAAACTATACTTGCACACTTCAATAAAAGAAATATTTCGTACTTTTTGGGTATCGTATTTTAAAATTTCCAGTTGAACAACTTACAGCAATCCTTTTAGCAGAAGAAGATATCAAATTAATAGTCAGGTTATAATCAAATTTAAAACAAAAATCAATACTTAATATTTGAAAGATTAACTTGATCATACCAGACATTTTAAATTAGGTGAAATATAGTTTACTTATATTTCTATCTCTCTAACCCATAAGGATTTTTTTCACTGGTTGAGGAAAAATATTATTCCTGTTTTTTCCATAGATAAACAACCAAGGTTATTTTGACCAATTAAAAAAATGTGATTATTGTTTTAGCAATTTGTGTAGCTAAAATGATAATCTGATGACAGGAACCAGAGGATTTAAGGATGAGGGTCTGGATGGTGGTCAGTGGTCACTCATTTCTTTAATCTTTAATTTTTCGACCATTTTCCCTATTCTTAATTTATCTTGCCCATTATATCTATTTTTTATATTTTAGCACCCCATTATTCTCTATTCTTTTTTTTTTGCCTAATTTTTCTATGTTCTTTATTTTTTTGCCCTTTAATCTGCACTTTTTGCCCATTATTCTCTATTCTGTAAACTCCATCCAGAACTTCATGAAAAACAGACATACATGTAGACACCACATTACAGTATATACTCAAAATATCAGTTACAATGTTTATGTCAATATTTACTGACCTGAATTATATGTGACTACATAACATTCCCCATCCTGTCTGATTGCTCCACCGTTGAAGTCATATACTGTTCCCTGTGATAACTGGTTTGTTATCCTTGTACCATCAACTATTATTTCTATACCTGTTTGTGATGGAAAAATAAAAATGATGCACTGATTTCTATTTCACATGTTGTTTAATATCGGATTAGCATTGGAGTACAAACTGTTATTTTAACATGGGCTTGTCCGATGTGGCATATTTGTCTGATGAGGTACATGTAGTTGGCTACACATCTACAGTTTAACACTATTTACCTTCTATTGCAGTTAATCATATTTTTTTTACTCTAAGAATATCAATTATATGTCAATCATACAAAATTTGGAATTAGGCCATAATATAATAGCAGTTATTAGTTATTATGGTAGAAGCAATCTGATGTCTTCAAAGTAATTCCATGAATATCTTAGTTTCTCAACCTATATATTTTGCATAAATTGGTCAGGCCCAAGGAAATGTAACTCGTCATTAATTTCAATCCTGCTTTATATTTCAAATAGTAAAAATTAAAAAGGAGACTTTTTAAATGCGAAATAAGATTTTTTTAGTATGATTCCAGTTGAAGATATATACTCATCACAAAAGTCTATAATTATGGAAGATAAGATGTCATAATATTTTTAGAACTTTAAACAACTAGAGCTGTTAAAATAAAAAAAGAATTAAAGCATATGAAAACTCTTAAATGTATCAAAATATTACCTGTCCTCTTCTCATTAAACATAATTGTTATATTAGATGATCCAGCCTCATGTATAGCAAAGGCTGTGTAAACTGTTGTGTTTGTGTTCTGTTCTGTGGGAGCTCCATTAAGCCAGGGATGTTCCAGTCTACCTTGAACCTGGATGCCTGTTGGACTATAAGCCAGTACAAACTCTCCCTTGTTACTGAATGTGTAGTCTAAGCCATCAAATGTTGTAATATGTGGAGTTCCATATACATGAGCTGTTACAAAAAAATGCAATTTATAACGACAACATCAAAACATAAATTTATTCTGCTCCATCATAAAAGAACATATAATATTTGTGATTTTATTTTTATTTAAACACTTTACACATATCAACTTATTTTCTTGCAAGAGGTTAGTTTTATTCTCATTTTAGATACAGCTCTTTTAAAAATGTCAGATGTTGAGACCAAAACTGCTAAGGTAAATCTTTGGTTAAATCACCAGGAGCAAGATATGTCAGCTGAGCAATGTTCATTTGAAAACCTATCAAATGTTTAAATAATGCTTTTCAAAAAGTCAATTGTATATACCAGTTATAAGAAAAATATGTTAACAGAAGAATGAGTTATGGTGTAATTTCAACATTGCCTTGTATGATAAGTTTATTTCACAAACAAAATTTTGAATATCATTTTTCCCTTTAAATACAGGAATTCAAAGCAATGTTTGCAGACATAAAAAAGCAATTTTTAGTTTCTTGTGTACAATTTGGAGTTTAGTATGGCGTTCATTATCACTGAACTAGTATATATATTTGTTTAGGGGCCAGCTGAAGGACGCCTCCGGGTGCGGGAGTTTCTCGCTGCATTGAAGACCTGTTGGTGACCTTCTGCTGTTGTCTGTTCTGTGGTCGGGTTGTTGTCTCTTTGACACATTCCCCATTTCCATTCTCAATTTTAAGAACTTTGTCTTGTACAATTTTAAAAACTTTTTTAAGTTCAAGGACCATAATTCTATCAAAATTAGATTGATTGATTGTTGCTTACTGTCCAGTGGCAAATATATAAAAACTAGTAAAAACTAGGACAATGTGTAAACTTACATATTACTCTCCCCTTTTGCACCAGCTTATTTAAAGTAAGACCTAAGTCTAAAAAAAAAAACACTAAAGAAAACTAAAAAACATAACATTCCAAGGTTAGTTCTATTCTCATTTTATCTACAGCTCTTTTAAAAATGTCAGATGTTAAGACCAAAACTGCTAAGGTAAATCTTTGGTTAAGTCACCAGAAGCAAGATATGTCAGCTGAGCAGAAGATAGAATGAGTTACAACTCTTCTTCCAGACTATACACAATCATAGGGAACATAAATATAAGAAACTTACCACAGGTAAGGGAAGTGTAGTTTACACATGTCGGAGAAGGCCTGTATTGATAGTAACAGTCACAACTTTTATCTAGTTGACAACATGCTGTTTCTGCATCAAGGTCATTCGTTTGATGTTCTGTGGGAGAAAGTCGTGGGTGATAGCGATAAACTTTGCTAGTTCCTCTAAGTCCAGTTAATAATGCTCCAGTTGATACTTTATCATAGCAACACAGCTGAAATAAAAGATAGTCTGTTTAATACCAGGTCTCTCGGTCATAACACTTTACTCAGTACTCGGGAGTACAAAATTTGTGCTCGAAACACTAAATCCAGTATTTTGATTTATAGTTGAATTCCGAGTCTGAGTACGCTTATTGTACTCAAGAGTTCAATGAACCCAAAACCAGGACAATTAACACCTCAAGTGATTTATTTTACAGTAAACACAAGGTGATTCCTTTCAAAATCAAAATTGGTCATGAATTTTTCCGAGTAAATGTGGGTGATTTACGAGCACTCTCAACACAAATTTCATTACTTGAATTTTGAAATACCATCTTGTTAATAGAAATCATAGAATCGCACAACCATAACACATTCTATAGTAAAATCATTTCAGATATTAACAGGTTCAAATAGTATAGCATAACCTTAGTTACCATGATGCTAAAAGGTCCTACAGAGAACACTGTATTTTCTCATTGACCAATTTTAAGTTCTTTTTTATGAATAAATAATGCTGGTAAAAATGACATTATTGAACAATGTACTATTATTGTGACATAATAACATAAGCATGGTGACATCAGAAATGTATAGGAAAATGCACAAATTGGAAAGTTGTCTATTTAAAAATTCCAGATTGATTTTTAACTGATTTATATAAAAATATGTGTTATGATTGCCAATGAGACAACTATCCACCAAAGTTCAAATGAAGTGAATGTAAGCAATAATAGGCAATCGTATGACCTTCAACAATGAGAAAAACCCATACCAAACAGTCGGCTATAAAAGGCCCAGACATGAAAAATGTGAAGCAATTCGATTAAGAAAACTAACGGCCTAATTTATAACAAAACAATTTACAAAAAACAAACATGACAGACATAAACCAACGACAACCACTGAGCTAAAGGCAACTGACTTGGAACAGACTCACAAAGAATGTGGAGGGGTTAAACATGTTTACCTTGTTTGTATTGCATGTACAAATAAATTTTTCCTAAAAAATGATGTTTTATTTGGAGATTGAGTAGTCTCTTCTCATTTTACATTGAAATTTTATTTTTAATATCAAGATTGTAGTAGATATTGAGGATTTGCAGATATATATTCTTGACTTTAGACATGGTATAACTGTAGTCTCGTACAAAATATAAAACTTATGTCTTACCACACCATATCCTTGTGGTGTAGGTGAAATCAGTTCTGCACAAGATGTTGTTGTATCCATACGTAATCTTTTATCAAGAAGTGCCTGTGAATATGTACATGGACAGGATGGGTTGGGAGAAATGATATCTTTGGCTTGCTGCTTCTTCCATTTTCTACAAGTAGCTGCATAATTACGAGGTGGGTTTTTTTCATCGAACAAAGGAAAAATCCAAATTCCTTTTTCACCTGTATAAATGAAACAGAACAGTTACAAATTATGATACCACATAAATAATAATTAATTGGTATTTTACTGAAAAATTGCATACATGAAGTATAGTTATTACTTGATGTTAAGCAAACAACCTACAATCAATGTTGTTTCTAAATGGTCATATTATTTTGTTAAAATCATATATTTGGTTTTTATTTTCTTAGAGCACTGTATAACTTTTTTCATAAGAAGCCAACAAATTTACCTTCTTTTTTCATAAGGAGCCAACAAATTTACCTACTTTTTCATAAGGAGCCAACAAACTTACCTCCTTTTTTCATAAGGAGCCAATAAACTTTCCTACTTTTTTCATAAGGAGCCAACAAACTTACCTACTTTTTTCATAAGGAGCCAACAAACTTACCTACTTTTTTCATAAGGAGCCAACAAATGTACCTACTTTTTTCATAAGGAGCCAACAAACTTACCTTCTTTTTTCATAAGGAGCCTACAAACTTACCTGTATTTCCAGGTAGATCAAATACATTTCCAGCATCTGGAGTTCCAGATAACGGGTGTTGAATACTGACATTTGGGGCTTTCAAACCAATAAATGGGTTCCTTGCACCATCATATGGCAGGGATGTTCCATTGTAATTGTAGATTACATAGGTTTTATCACCATCAGTAAAAATAATTGCTTGAAATGTTGTATTCTGAAGTGGAAAATAAATAACATCTGAAATATATTCTTAAAACAATAAAGGGCATTAGGAATAGTTCAGGTTAATGCCAGATTTAGCATATAAATTATAATTATATATATACAGTGTGTTGACATTAGAGAAACTTGCAGACAAGTGTATAATGAAAATGATTCTGGACACTGTGTGTCAAAGTAATAAACATGATAAAGGAGTGGACAGGGGGATCTCTGATTCCCACTTCCACTGTTCCCTATCCCTACTCCCTAATTTCCTACTTCCTTTATAACTTATTTTCTGAACGTCTGGACAATTGATTTTGTCCAGCATATCCCTATTTTCCCGGATTCATAATTTATTTTCATCTGTAAGTACTGTAGATATCCATGATTAATTTTTTTTCGCTGCTTTTCATGTTTGCAGCGGAAATTAATTAAAATGAATAACACATTTGTTTCCTGCATTTTGTGTTGCAGAATGTTCACTTTCATCCTGTCTAGTGCAAAATTAATTATTTTCAGATTTGGATTACCTGACTTTGGCGATCACAATACTGGTATACCGGTATTGTTAACAGTACTGGTATAAAATTTTATTCCAGTATTGTCTTTCAGTAAATTGTATCAGTATTGTTGGTTATTTAGATTTTGTAAATGTATATATAATCATGGAAGTATTAAATTAAGATACAAGATGTCATGACTTTTCTGCATATGCTAGCTAGAAATAAATAAACAAAAAATGTGATTAGTTTCTTCTAAAAAATTGTAAAAACATTCATAATGTTATATTTTCAAAAAAGTTGTGTTGCATGAGCATGATGAGTGAAAAGAATTAATGCACCAATCACTTTGATGTATTATAATCATCATGATAAATTAAAAACTACTTTGCATTCTTCCTGGAAAAAGAAGTCATTAAACAAGTTCATTACCAAATACAAATCTCTTTGATCTTTTATTTTGATAATTAAATATCAACAAAAAGTTAAAAAGTTAAAAATGAGAATCACATGTATATAAAAGAAATATAGATTCCACCACTGCAACAAGTGTGGTACGATATTTCTCCACTCAAGACAGTTAAATTTTCCTGTTTAAAGCGCGAGGCTTGCCAAGCTTTTTAAATAATCAAATGGTCGTCCCCTAAAACTTTGAGATATTTGTTTTTTTTTCATAAAAATCTGACAAGATTGTAAAGAATGTAAACATGACAGAGCTGGTTGTTATACGCACATATAAGCAACCTAAATCAGTGGCAGATTTAGAGGGGTGGCACAGGGGGCACGTGCCCCCACTCCCCCCCAGTCCAGGTCACCAAAAAAAATTTCGCTATCGTGATCCGTTTTTCTACAGATTTATTTTTTTTTTATATTCGTGATCCGTGATCATGGAAATTTATTTTCTGTGAATTGTGATTGACAAAAAAATCAACTCGTGAATCGTGATGAGACCCCCCCCATCAGGCCCCTCGTTGATTGGAATAGTACGAATATTTTTATTGTTTTTTTAATACAATATTACAGATTAAGATCAATTACCAGGTGAAATCTTCTGATCAGGAAAGAAAGTACCAATTAAAATCTTTTTTTAAGGAATAGGTACAAATTTATGTTTAGTGTCAAGAATGTTGGTATCGATATATATGGGATATGTCTTCATAACAAAATACTCACATAACCAATTCTTGTGAATGTATTTTTTTCTAAACTGTCTTTTTTGTGACTTTATTCAACAACAATTTTTTTTAATATCATAAAAGAGTTTTTTTTTAAACTGAATGTCGTAGTTCTTTTCCCTCTTATTTTGCAAATAAAAACCAAAAATTTGTTTAAAAATAAACCTTACATCTCTAAAAAATATTTTTATTTTGGTTTTATGGTGCCCCAAAGACATCGAGGTTCTGGATCCGCCCCTGTAAATAAATGCAAAGTGTATCAAAATCTTGTATATCACTGCCTTTTAGATGACAAAGAGCACGGTATGAATGGGGAACGAAACAACCGTTTTATGAGTGATATTAAACTAGTAGGCAGACACGCTCAGAGCAGACACGTTGTCTCTAAAAAATATTTGATGTCCATGAAAAGAGCCTGTGCAGGAATATTATCGCAATATTTATATATTAGAGCCCACGTGAGTACACAAACCTGTCTGACCTCCCAGGCCCTCAAAGATGGATCTCTCTTCGTCTGCATGCAGGTGTTTGTTGCACATTATCATTAAGATTAATTGGATTACTACACAATGTCTTGACGTTTATCAGTAAGTAAATATTAGAAAACACATCACATATGATCATGATTATCATTCGTAATTCGAATTCAAATAATGGTTAGATGACCATTTGGTTTTTTTAAAAAGGGGGAGGGTAGGAGGATTTTGGAAATGAATATGCTGGCCGGATCTTCCCTAAACTCAAGATGAAAAAGAACATTCTACCTAATAAAATGCCTGAGATAATTGGGTGCAACATTGAAAATAAATAAGCCTGCCTAGCAACAAGTAAAAATGAAACTGCAAACAAGATCAAAATAGCAATCCTCTTATTTCCTTACTTATCATTTGAGTCTCAGTCAGCATATTGAGTAATTGCGTAAGATGTAAATTAATAAAAGCAATAAAGACACAATGCCAAAACTAAGAGGTAAAATCTATAACTCCATATGGTGTCAACATATTTGTTTATTCATTAGGAGAGGAAGATTAAACACGTTAAATAGGTAAGATCCAAGACATCATCCTAAAAAACTTGAGGTTGATGATGATTTGCTGTTTAATGCTCAGTGTCAAATTTAATGCTATATGTTGAATCAAGTTCATGTTATATTCCTTGCAAGTTTATGCTGGCAGGTTATTCCAGATTTTTTTTCTAAAAGGGTGGTTATAAGGGGATCCATTGTGAAAAGGGTTTCAGTAAAAAATATAGCAATTTTTTCAAACCCTGGAGAACCCCCCTGTGGCTCTGCTGATGTTACACATTTGAAGTGGTGTACCCATTAGTATGGACTGAAAAATAAGTGATTTTTATATGTAGGAGGGTTAGCAGGGGCGGATCCAGCCATTTTAAAAAGGGGGGTTCCCAACCCAGGATAAAGGAGGGTTCCAACCATATGTCCCCATTCAAATGCATTGATCGTCCAAAAAAGGGGGGGTTCCAACCCCCGGAACCCCCCCCCCCCTGGATCCGCCACTGGTTAGCATTAATTGTAATACCTGGTTTCAATTCATTCATTACCAGCAAATTGCATTACTAAGCCAGGTCAATAACTGTCAATTGTTGATTATGGTGATCATGTGATTTTAAGGGTATCCCCCAAAATGTTCAGTTTTTATATGGAAATATATATTTAAAAAAAAATTATACATGGGAGTTTATTATATTTTTTATTCAATATTACCTCAATCCCATCATTTTCTTCAGCTGGAAAAGGCGCAACAACATTCCAGGAAACCTCCACTGCCCATGTTGGTTTAAATGTTGGATCTAAGAAAGGTCTCCATTTAACAGTCAAATTTGTAGTTGGTTGTAGATTGTTGTAAACTGTGTAATATACTGATGTATCTGTTAAGTTTGTAGTGTCCAAATCAGTCCAGTATGGTTCCAACATAATTGTGTCTGCTATTTCTATAGAGGTAGAGTTCTGTGGAGTGTAGCCAACTGTGTTGTTACCTAGCGTCACTAACCCATTGGTACTGACCTATTCCCATAAAATGTAAACTGTTTATTGGAAAGTCATTTACAAAGAATGTTTAGAGAAAGGAAGATGAAAAAGTCCATACCAATTGCATGGATTAAAGAAAGACCATTAAAAAAAAATATGTTTGAATAAAATAATAAAAATCAGAACAAAGACTGTAGATCGATAGTTACAAAAACACTAAATAATATTTAGAATAACATTGACTTTAATAGAAATATATATTTTTTTTAAATGTTCTGCTTACACTTTTGGGTTGGGTCTACTAAGACCATCTAAGTGTACATATGAGACTGTCTAAACCATGTTTGCACATATTTACCCTACTCCCAAAAGACCAAGATTTGTTCCAAAAAATGTATTATTTCCACAGAAAGAATTTTTTTTTGCTTTGCGGCATCTATTTGACTATGAGTATGTACAATCTATACAGACATTGTATACTAAGACATTTATTTAACTCCTAGATGCATTAACTTGAACTTGCAATGATTGTCATATTACAAGTGAAGGGTTTCATTCACTAATTATTTTCATCTGTGTTTGTACAAAGTCAGGAAATTAACAGTCAATCAATTCCTAATTTTTCCAGGAATAATTTTTTTCAAGATATTTTCCCTGAAATTTTCATTTACCTCTGGACATTAATTAATTTTTGTTTGGAAGTTTAGTAAAAATTGAAATAGTTATTTGAAGACCAAACATACTGAAAAATTCTGATTTAAAAATATTTAATCTGTTATAAAACATAAAAAAAGTTCTTACTTTATTGTTCAATATATTTATTTCGTTGTAATTTAAAAAGTTTACATGATTTCCATGATTTCGATCCTTACTAAAAAAAAACTCATATCAAACAAATATACCTATCCTCAAATAATACCTACATGAATGCACTGATACTGATCATCAAATCCAGGAACTGCACCTTCTATATCAACAGAATCTGATACAATGTCATCACCGCTAGCCACTGCAACCGAAAATATTATTGCTGACCCAAACGGTTCATTGGTGCTTGATACTGTAGTACCAGTAGTCTGAGACACGGTTGTACCTTCTGTGCTGGCCACTGGCGAGGTTGTAGTTGCAACTGTGCCTGTTGTTGTATCGACTGTAGTGCCAGTAGTCTGTGAGACAGTTGTACCTTCGGTGCTTGAAACTGTAGTGCCAGAAGTTCGAGACACGGTTGTACCTTCTGTGCTTGTAACTGGCGAGGTCGTAGTTTCGATTGTGGCTGTCGTTGTCTCAGCTGTAGTTCCAGTAGTCTGTGAGACAGTGGTACCTTCTGTGCTTGATACTGTTGTGCCAGTAGTCTGAGACACGGTTGTACCTTTTGTGCTGGTCACTGGCGAGGTTGTAGTTGCGACTGTGCCTGTTGTTGTATCGACTGTAGTGCCAGTAGTCTGTGAGACAGTTGTACTTTCGGTGCTTGAAACTGTAGTGCCAGAAATTTGAGACACGGTTGTACCTTCGGTGCTTGTAACTGGCGAGGTCGTAGTTTCGATTGTGCCTGTTGTTGTCCCAGCTGTAGTGCCAGTAGTTTGAGGAACAGTTGTACCTTTGGAGCTCGACACTGTTGTGCCAGTAGTCTGAGAGACGGTTGTGCTTTCTGTGCTGGTTACTGGCGAGGTTGTAGTTGCGACTGTGCCTGTTGTTGTATCGACTGTAGTGCCAGTAGTCTGTGAGACAGTTGTACCTTCGGTGCTTGACACTGCTGTGCCAGAAGTTTGAGACACGATTGTACCTTTGGTGCTTGTCACTGACGAGGTGGTTGTTACGATTGTGCCTGTCATTGTCTCAGCTGTAGTTCCAGTAGTCTGTGAGACAGTGGTACCTTCGGTGCTTGATACTGTAGTGCCAGTAGTTTGAGACACGGTTGTACCTTCGGTGCTTATCACTGGCGAGGTTGTAGTTGCGACTGTGCCTGTTGTTGTATCGACTGTAGTGCCAGAAGTCTGAGACACGGTTGTACCTTCAGTGCTTGTCACTGGCGAGATGGTAGTTGCGATTGTGCCTGTCGTTGTCTCAGCTGTAGTTCCAGTAGTCTGTGAGACAGTGGTACCTTCGGTGCTTGATACTGTAGTGCCAGAAGTTTGAGACACGGTTTTACCTTCGGTGCTTGTAACTGGCGAGGTCGTAGTTTCAATTGTGCCTGTTGTTGTCTCAGCTGTAGTGCCAGTAGTTTGAGGAACAGTTGTACCTTCGGTGCTTGACACTGTTGTGCCAGTAGTCTGAGAGACAGTGGTACCTTCGGTGCTTGATACTGTAGTGCCAGAAGTTTGAGACACGGTTGTACCTTCGGTGCTTGTAACTGGCGAGGTCGTAGTTTCAATTGTGCCGGTTGTTGTCTCAGGTGTAGTGCCAGTAGTTTGAGGAACAGTTGTGCCTTCGGTGCTTGACACTGTTGTGCCAGTAGTCTGCGAGACGGTTGTACCTTCGGTGCTTGATACTGTAGTGCCAGAAGTCTGAGACACGGTTGTACCTTCAGTGCTTGTCACTGGCGAGATGGTAGTTGCGATTGTGCCTGTCGTTGACTCAGCTGTAGTTCCAGTAGTCTGTGAGACAGTGGTACCTTCGGTGCTTGATACTGTAGTGCTAGAAGTTTGAGACACGGTTGTACCTACGGTGCTTGTAACTGGCGAGGTCGTAGTTTCAATTGTGCCTGTTGTTGTCTCAGATGTAGTGCCAGTAGTTTGAGGAACAGTTGTACCTTCGGTGCTTGACACTGTTGTGCCAGTAGTCTGAGAGACGGTTGTACCTTCGGTGCTTGATACTGTAGTGCCAGAAGTCTGAGACACGGTTGTACCTTCAGCGCTTGTCACTGGCGAGATGGTAGTTGTGATTGTGCCTGTCGTTGTCTCAGCTGTGTTTCCAGAAGTCTGTGAGAGAGTGGTCACTTCTGTGCTTGATACTGTGGTGCCAGTAGTCTGCGAGACGGTTGTACCTTCGGTGATTGATACTGTAGTGCCAGAAGTCTGAGAGACGGTTGTACCTTCAGTGCTTGTCACTGGCGAGATGGTAGTTGCGATTGTGCCTGTCGTTGTCTCAGCTGTAGTTCCAGTAGTTTGTGAGACAGTGGTACCTTCGGTGCTTGATACTGTAGTGCCAGAAGTTTGAGACACGGTTGTACCTTCGGTGCTTGTAACTGGCGAGATCGTAGTTTCAATTGTGCCGGTTGTTGTCTCAGGTGTAGTGCCAGTAGTTTGAGGAACAGTTGTACCTTCGGTGCGTGACACTGTTGTGCCAGTAGTCTGAGAGACGGTTGCACCTTCGGTGCTTGATACTGTAGTGCCAGAAGTCTGAGACACGGTTGTACCTTCAGTGCTTTTCACTGGCGAGATGGTAGTTGCGATTGTGCCTGTCGTTGTCTCAGCTGTAGTTCCAGTAGTCTGTGAGACAGTGGTACCTTCGGTGCTTGATACTTTAGTGCCAGAAGTTTGAGACACGGTTGTACCTACGGTGCTTGTAACTGGCGAGGTCGTAGTTTCAATTGTGCCTGTTGTTGTCTCAGGTGTAGTTCCAGTAGTTTGAGTAACAGTTGTACCTTCGGTGCTTGACACTGTTGTGCCAGTAGTCTGAGAGACGGTTGTACCTTCGGTGCTTGATACTGTAGTGCCAGAAGTCTGAGACACGGTTGTACCTTCAGTGCTTGTCACTGGCGAGATGGTAGTTGCGATTGTGCCTGTCGTTGTCTCAGCTGTAGTTCCAGAAGTCTGTGAGACAGTGGTACCTTCGGTGATTGATACTGTAGTGCCAGTAGTCCTAGACACGGTTGTACCTTCTGTGCTAGTCACTCGCGAGGTGGTAGTTGCGATTGTGCCTGTTGTTGTCTCAGCTGTAGTTCCAGTAGTTTGTGAGACAGTGGTACCTTCGGTGCTTGATACTGTAGTGCCAGAAGTTTGAGACACGGTTGTACCTTCGGTGCTTGTAACTGGCGAGGTCGTAGTTTCAATTGTGCCGGTTGTTGTCTCAGGTGTAGTGCCAGTAGTTTGAGGAACAGTTGTACCTTCGGTGCTTGACACTGTTGTGCCAGTAGTCTGCGAGACGGTTGTACCTTCGGTGCTTGATACTGTAGTGCCAGAAGTCTGAGACACGGTTGTACCTTCAGTGCTTGTCACTGGCGAGATGGTAGTTGCGATTGTGTCTGTCGTTGTCTCAGCTGTAGTTTTAGTAGTCTGTGAGACAGTGGTCCCTTCGGTGCTTGATACTGTAGTGCCAGAAGTTTGAGACACGGTTGTACCTACGGTGCTTGTAACTGGCGAGGTCGTTGTTTCAATTGTGCCTGTTGTTGTCTCAGGTGTAGTGCCAGTAGTTTGAGGAACAGTTGTACCTTTGGTGCTTGACACTGTTGTGCCAGTAGTCTGAGAGACGGTTTTACCTTCGGTGCTTGATACTGTAGTGCCAGAAGTCTGAGACACGGTTGTACCTTCAGTGCTTGTCACTGGCGAGATGGTAGTTGCGATTGTGCCTGTCGTTGTCTCAGCTGTAGTTCCAGAAGTCTGTGAGACAGTGGTACCTTCGGTGATTGATACTGTAGTGCCAGTAGTCCTAGAAACGGTTGTACCTTCTGTGCTGGTCACTGGCGAGATGGTAGTTGCGATTGTTCCTGTCGTTGTCTCAGCTGTAGTTCCAGTAGTCTGTGAGACAGTGGTACCTTCGGTGCTTGATACTGTAGTGCCAGAAGTTTGAGAGACGGTTGTACCTTCGGTGCTTGACACTTTTATGCCAGTAGTCTGAGAGACGGTTGTACCTTCGGTGCTTGATACTGTAGTTCCAGAAGCCTGAGACACGGTTGTACCTTCAGTGCTTGTCACTGGCGAGATGGTAGTTGCGATTGTGGCTGTCGTTGTCTCAGCTGTAGTTCCAGAAGTCTGTGAGACAGTGGTACCTTCGGTGATTGATACTGTAGTGCCAGTAGTCCTAGAAACGGTTGTACCTTCTGTGCTGGTCACTGGCGAGATGGTAGTTGCGATTGTTCCTGTCGTTGTCTCAGCTGTAGTTCCAGTAGTCTGTGAGACAGTGGTACCTTCGGTGCTTGATACTGTAGTGCCAGAAGTTTGAGAGACGGTTGTACCTTCGGTGCTTGACACTTTTATGCCAGTAGTCTGAGAGACGGTTGTACCTTCGGTGCTTGATACTGTAGTTCCAGAAGCCTGAGACACGGTTGTACCTTCAGTGCTTGTCACTGGCGAGATGGTAGTTGCGATTGTGCCTGTCGTTGTCTCAGCTGTAGTTCCAGTAGTCTGTGAGACAGTGGTACCTTCGGTGCTTGATACTGTAGTGCCAGAAGTTTGAGAGACGGTTGTACCTTCGGTGCTTGACACTTTTATGCCAGTAGTCTGAGAGACGGTTGTACCTTCGGTGCTTGATACTGTAGTTCCAGAAGCCTGAGACACGGTTGTACCTTCAGTGCTTGTCACTGGCGAGATGGTAGTTGCGATTGTGCCTGTCGTTGTCTCAGCTGTAGTTCCAGTAGTCTGTGAGACAGTGGTACCTTCGGTGCTTGATACTGTAGTGCCAGAAGTTTGAGACACGGTTGTACCTTCGGTGCTTGTAACTGGCGAGGTCGTAGTTTCAATTGTGCCTGTTGTTGTCTCAGCTGTAGTTCCAGTAGTCTGTGAGACAGTGGTTCCTTCGGTGCTTGATACTGTAGTGCCAGAAGTTTGAGACACGGTTGTACCTTCGGTGCTTGATACTGTAGTGCCAGTAGTTTGAGGAACAGTTGTACCTTCGGTGCTTGACACTGTTGTGACAGTAGTCTGAGACACGGTTGTACCTTCGGTGCTTGACACTGTTGTGCCAGTAGTCTGAGACACGGTTGTACCTTCGGTGGTTGTCACTGGCGAGATGGTAGTTGTGATTGTGCCTGTCGTTGTCTCAGCTGTAGTTCCAGTAGTCTGTGAGACAATGGTACCTTCGGTGCTTGATACTGTAGTGGCAGAAGTCTGAGACACGGTTGTACCTTCGGTGCTTGTCACTGGCGAGATGGTAGTTGCGATTGTGCCTGTCGTTGTCTCAGCTGTAGTTCCAGTAGTCTGTGAGACAGTGGTACCTTCGGTGCTTGATACTGTAGTGCCAGAAGTCTGAGACACAGTTGTACCTTCGGTGGTTGTCACTGGCGAGATGGTAGTTGCGATTGTGCCTGTCGTTGTCTCAGCTGTAGTTCCAGTAGTCTGTGAGACAATGGTACCTTCGGTGCTTGATACTGTAGTGGCAGAAGTCTGAGACACGGTTGTACCTTCGGTGCTTGTCACTGGCGAGATGGTAGTTGCGATTGTGCCTGTCGTTGTCTCAGCTGTAGTTCCAGTAGTCTGTGAGACTGTGGTACCTTCGGTGCTTGATACTGTAGTGCCAGAAGTCTGAGACACAGTTGTACCTTCGGTGCTTGACACTGTTGTGCCAGTAGTCTGAGACACGGTTGTACCTTCGGTGCTTGTCACTGGCGAGATGGTAGTTGCGATTGTGCCTGTCGTTGTCTCAGCTGTAGTTCCAGTAGTCTGTGAGACAATGGTACCTTCGGTGCTTGATACTGTAGTGGCAGAAGTCTGAGACACGGTTGTACCTTCAGTGCTTGTCACTGGCGAGATGGTAGTTGCGATTGTGCCTGTCGTTGTCTCAGCTGTAGTTCCAGTAGTCTGTGAGACAGTGGTACCTTCGGTGCTTGATACTGTAGTGCCAGAAGTTTGAGACACGGTTGTATCTTTGGTGCTTGTAACTGGCGATGTCGTACTTTCAATTGTGCCTGTTGTTGTCTCAGCTATAGTTCCAGTAGTCTGTGATACAGTGGTTCCTTCGGTGCTTGATACTGTTGTGCCAGAAGTTTGAATCACGGTTGTTCCTTCGGTGCTTGTAACTGGCGAGGTCGTAGTTTGAATTGTGCCTGTTGTTGTCTCAGCTGTAGTGCCAGTTGTTTGAGGAACAGTTGTACCTTCGGTGCTTGACACTGTTGTGCCAGTAGTCTGAGAGACGGTTGTACCTTCGGTGCTTGATACTGTAGTGCCAGTAGTTTTAGGAACAGTTGTACCTTCGGTGCTTGACACTGTTGTGCCAGTAGTCTGAGACACGGTTGTACCTTCGGTGCTTGACACTGTTGTGGCAGAAGTTTGAGACACGGTTGTACCTTCGGTGCTTGTCACTGACGAGATGGTAGTTGCGATTGTGCCTGTCGTTGTCTCAGCTGTAGTTTCAGTAGTCTGTGAGACAGTGGTACCTTCGGTACTTGATTCTGTAGTGCCAGAAGTCTGAGACACGGTTTTACCTTCAGTGCTTGTCACTGGCGAGATGGTAGTTGCGATTGTGCCTGTCGTTGTCTCAGCTGTTGTTCCAGTAGTCTGTGAGACAGTGGTACCTTCGGTGCTTGATACTGTAGTGCCAGAAGTTTGAGACACGGTTGTACCTTCGGTGCTTGTAACTGACGAGGTCGTAGTTTCAATTGTGCCTGTTGTTGTCTCAGCTGTAGTTCCAGTAGTCTGTGAGACAGTGGTTCCTTCGGTGCTTGATACTGTAGTGCCAGAAGTTTGAGACACGGTTGTACCTTCGGTGCTTGATACTGTAGTGCCAGTAGTTTGAGGAACAGTTGTACCTTCGGTGCTTGACACTGTTGTGCCAGTAGTCTGAGACACGGTTGTACCTTCGGTGCTTGACACTGTTGTGCCAGTAGTCTGAGACACGGTTGTACCTTCGGTGCTTGTCACTGGCGAGATGGTAGTTGCGATTGTGCTTGTCGTTGTCTCAGCTGTAGTTCCAGTTCTCTGTGAGACAGTGGTACCTTCGGTGCTTGATACTGTAGTGCCAGAAGTCTGAGACACAGTTGTACCTTCGGTGCTTGACACTGTTGTGCCAGTAGTCTGAGACACGGTTGTACCTTCGGTGCTTGTCACTGGCGAGATGGTAGTTGCGATTGTGCCTGTCGTTGTCTCAGCTGTAGTTCCAGTAGTCTGTGAGACAGTGGTACCTTCGGTGCTTGATACTGTAGTGGCAGAAGTCTGAGACACGGTTGTACCTTCAGTGCTTGTCACTGGCGAGATGGTAGTTGCGATTGTGCCTGTCGTTGTCTCAGCTGTAGTTCCAGTAGTCTGTGAGACAGTGGTACCTTCGGTGCTTGATACTGTAGTGCCAGAAGTTTGAGACACGGTTGTACCTTTGGTGCTTGTAACTGGCGAGGTCGTAGTTTCAATTGTGCCATTTGTTGTCTCAGCTATAGTTCCAGTAGTCTGTGATACAGTGGTTCCTTCGGTGCTTGATACTGTAGTGCCAGAAGTTTGAATCACGGTTGTTCCTTCGGTGCTTGTAACTGGCGAGGTCGTAGTTTGAATTGTGCCTGTTGTTGTCTCAGCTGTAGTGCCAGTTGTTTGAGGAACAGTTGTACCTTCGGTGCTTGACACTGTTGTGCCAGTAGTCTGAGAGACGGTTGTACCTTCGGTGCTTGATACTGTAGTGCCAGTAGTGTGAGGAACAGTTGTACCTTCGGTGCTTGACACTGTTGTGCCAGTAGTCTGAGACACGGTTGTACCTTCGGTGCTTGACACTGTTGTGCCAGAAGTTTGAGACACGGTTGTACCTTCGGTGCTTGTCACTGGCGAGATGGTAGTTGCGATTGTGCCTGTCGTTGTCTCAGCTGTAGTTCCAGTAGTCTGTGAGACAGTAGTACCTTCGGTGCTTGATACTGTAGTGCCAGAAGTCTGAGACACGGTTGTACCTTCAGTGCTTGTCACTGGCGAGATGGTAGTTGCGATTGTGCCTGTCGTTGTCTCAGCTGTAGTTCCGGTAGTCTGTGAGACAGTGGTTCCTTCGGTGCTTGATACTGTAGTGCCAGAAGTTTGAGACAGGGTTGTACCTTCGGTGCTTGTAACTGGCGAGGTCGTAGTTTCAATTGTGCCTGTTGTTGTCTCAGCTGTAGTGCCAGTAGTTTGAGGAACAGTTGTACCTTCGGTGCTTGACACTGTTGTGCCAGTAGTCTGAGAGACGGTTGTACCTTCGGTGCTTGATACTGTAGTGCCAGTAGTTTGAGGAACAGTTGTACCTTCGGTGCTTGACACTGTTGTGCCAGTAGTCTGAGACACGGTTGTACCTTCGGTGCTTGTCACTGGCGAGATGGTAGTTGCGATTGTGCCTGTCGTTGTCTCAGCTGTAGTTCCAGTAGTCTGTGAGACAGTGGTACCTTCGGTGCTTGATACTGTAGTGCCAGAAGTCTGAGACACGGTTGTACCTTCAGTGCTTGTCACTGGCGAGATGGTAGTTGCGATTGTGCCTGTCGTTGTCTCAGCTGTAGTTCCAGTAGTCTGTGAGCTCGTGGTACCTTCGGTGCTTGATACTGTAGTGCCAGAAGTTTGAGACACGGTTGTACCTTCGGTGCTTGTAACTGGCGAGGTCGTAGTTTCAATTGTGCCTGTTGTTGTCTCAGCTGTAGTTCCAGTAGACTGTGAGACAGTGGTTCCTTCGGTGCTTGATACTGTAGTGCCAGAAGTTTGAGACACGGTTGTACCTTCGGTGCTTGATACTGTAGTGCCAATAGTTTGAGGAACAGTTGTACCTTCGGTGCTTGACACTGTTGTGCCAGTAGTCTGAGACACGGTTGTACCTTCGGTGCTTGACACAATGGTGCCAGTAGTCTGAGACACGGTTGTACCTTCGGTGCTTGTCACTGGCGAGATGGTAGTTGCGATTGTGCCTGTCGTTGTCTCAGCTGTAGTTCCAGTTCTCTGTGAGACAGTGGTACCTTCAGTGCTTGATACTGTAGTGCCAGAAGTCTGAGACACGGTTGTACCTTCAGTGCTTGTCACTGGCGAGATGGTAGTTGCGATTGTGCCTGTCGTTGTCTCAGCTGTAGTTCCAGTAGTCTGTGAGACAGTGGTACCTTCGGTGCTTGATACTGTAGTGCCAGAAGTTTGAGACACGGTTGTACCTTCGGTGCTTGTAACTGGCGAGGTCGTAGTTTCAATTGTGCCTGTTGTTGTCTCAGCTGTAGTCTGTGAGACAGTGGTTCCTTCGGTGCTTGATACTGTAGTGCCAGAAGTTTGAGACACGGTTGTACCTTCGGTGCTTGATACTGTAGTGCCAGTAGTGTGAGGAACAGTTGTACCTTCGGTGCTTGACACTGTTGTGCCAGTAGTCTGAGAGACGGTTGTACCTTCGGTGCTTGATACTGTAGTGCCAGTAGTTTGAGGAACATTTGTACCCTCGGTGCTTGCCACTATTGTGCCAGTAGTCTGAGACACGGTTGTACCTTCGGTGCTTGTCACTGGCGAGATGGTAGTTGCGATTGTGCCTGTCGTTGTCTCAGCTGTAGTTCCAGTAGTCTGTGAGACAATGGTACCTTCGGTGCTTGATACTGTAGTGCCAGAAGTCTGAGACACGGTTGTATCTTCAGTGCTTGTCACTGGCGAGATGGTAGTTGCAATTGAGCCTGTCGTTGTCTCAGCTGTAGTTCCAGTAGTCTGTGAGACAGTAGTACCTTCGGTGCTTGATACTGTAGTGCCAGAAGTTTGAGACACGATTGTACCTTCGGTGCTTGTAACTGGCGAGGTCGTAGTTTCAATTGTGCCTGTTGTTGTCTCAGCTGTAGTTCCAGTAGTCTGTGAGACAGTGGTTCCTTCGGTGCTTGATACTGTAGTGCCAGAAGTTTGAGACACGGTTGTACCTTCGGTGCTTGATACTGTAGTGCCAGTAGTTTGAGGAACAGTTGTACCTTCGGTGCTTGACACTGTTGTGCCATTAGTCTGAGACACGGTTGTACCTTCGGTGCTTGATACTGTAGTGCCAGTAGTCTGAGACACGGTTGTACCTTCGGTGCTTGTCACTGGCGAGATGGTAGTTGCGATTGTGCCTGTCGTTGTCTCAGCTGTAGTTCCAGTAGTCTGTGAGACAGTGGTACCTTCGGTGCTTGATACTGTAGTGCCAGAAGTCTGAGACACGGTTGTACCTTCAGTGCTTGTCACTGGCGAGATGGTAGTTGCGACTGTGCCTGTCGTTGTCTCAGCTGTAGTTCCAGTAGTCTGTGAGACAGTGGTTCCTTCGGTGCTTGATACTGTAGTGCCAGAAGTTTGAGACACGGTTGTACCTTCGGTGCTTGTAACTGGCGAGGTCGTAGTTTCAGTTGTGCCTGTTGTTGTCTCAGCTGTAGTGCCAGTTGTTTGAGGAACAGTTGTACCTTCGGTGCTTGACACTGTTGTGCCAGTAGTCTGAGAGACGGTTGTACCTTCGGTGCTTGATACTGTAGTGCCAGTAGTTTGAGGAACAGTTGTACCCTCGGTGCTTGACACTGTTATGCCAGTAGTCTGAGACACGGTTGTACCTTCGGTGCTTGTCACTGGCGAGATGGTAGTTGCGATTGTGCCTGTCGTTGTCTCAGCTGTAGTTCCAGTAGTCTGTGAGACAGTGGTACCTTCGGTGCTTGTTACTGTAGTGCCAGAAGTCTGAGACACGGTTGTACCTTCAGTGCTTGTCACTGGCGAGATGGTAGTTGCGATTGTGCCTGTCGTTGTCTCAGCTGTAGTTCCAGTAGTCTGTGAGACAGTGGTACCTTCGGTGCTTGATACTGTAGTGCCAGAAGTTTGAGACACGGTTGTACCTTCGGTGCTTGTAACTGGCGAGGTCGTAGTTTCAATTGTGCCTGTTGTTGTCTCAGCTGTAGTTCCAGTTGTTTGAGGAACAGTTGTACCTTCGGTGGTTGACACTGTTGTGCCAGTAGTCTGAGAGACGGTTGTACCTTCGGTGCTTGATACTGGCGAGATGGTAGTTTGAGGAACAGTTGTACCTTCGGTGCTTGACACTGTTGTGCCAGTAGTCTGAGACAAGGTTGTACCTTCGGTGCTTGTCACTGGCGAGATGGTAGTTGCGATTGTGCCTGTTGTTTTCTCAGCTGTAGTTCCAGTAGTTTGTGAGACAGTGGTACCTTCGGTGCTTGATACTGTAGTGCCAGAAGTCTGAGACACGGTTGTACCTTCGGTGCTTGATACTGTAGTGCCAGTAGTTTGAGGAACAGTTGTACCTTCGGTGCTTGACACTGTTGTGCCATTAGTCTGAGACACGGTTGTACCTTCGGTGCTTGACACTGTGGTGCCAGTAGTCTGAGACACGGTTGTACCTTCGGTGCTTGTAACTTGCGAGATGGTAGTTGCGATTGTGCCTGTCGTTGTCTCAGCTGTAGTTCCTTTTCTTTGTGAAACAGTGGTACCTTCGGTGTTTGATACTGTAGTGCCAGAAGTCTGAGACACAGTTGTTCCTTCGGTGCTTGACACTGTTGTGCCAGTAGTCTGAGACACGGTTGTACCTTCGGTGCTTGTCACTGGCGAGATGGTAGTTGCGATTGTGCCTGTCGTTGTCTCAGCTGTAGTTCCAGTAGTCTGTGAGACAGTGGTACCTTCGGTGCTTGATACTGTAGTGCCAGAAGTCTGAGACACGGTTGTACCTTCAGTGCTTGTCACTGGCGAGATGGTAGTTGCGACTGTGCCTGTCGTTGTCTCAGCTGTAGTTCCAGTAGTCTGTGAGACAGTGGTTCCTTCGGTGCTTGATACTGTAGTGCCAGAAGTTTGAGACACAGTTGTACCTTCGGTGCTTGTAACTGGCGAGGTCGTAGTTTCAGTTGTGCCTGTTGTTGTCTCAGCTGTAGTGCCAGTTGTTTGAGGAACAGTTGTACCTTCGGTGCTTGACACTGTTGTGCCAGTAGTCTGAGAGACGGTTGTACCTTCGGTGCTTGATACTGTAGTGCCAGTAGTTTGAGGAACAGTTGTACCCTCGGTGCTTGACACTGTTATGCCAGTAGTCTGAGACACGGTTGTACCTTCGGTGCTTGTCACTGGCGAGATGGTAGTTGCGATTGTGCCTGTCGTTGTCTCAGCTGTAGTTCCAGTAGTCTGTGAGACAGTGGTACCTTCGGTGCTTGATACTGTAGTGCCAGAAGTCTGAGACACGGTTGTACCTTCAGTGCTTGTCACTGGCGAGATGGTAGTTGCGATTGTGCCTGTCGTTGTCTCAGCTGTAGTTCCAGTAGTCTGTGAGACAGTGGTACCTTCGGTGCTTGATACTGTAGTGCCAGAAATCTGAGACACGGTTGTACCTTCAGTGCTTGTCACTGGCGAGATGGTAGTTGCGACTGTGCCTGTCGTTGTCTCAGCTGTAGTTCCAGTAGTCTGTGAGACAGTGGTTCCTTCGGTGCTTGATACTGTAGTGCCAGAAGTTTGAGTTACGGTTGTACCTTCGGTGCTTGTAACTGGCGAGGTCGTAGTTTCA